TGCGCTGACAGCCAGCCCGCCATTGGCACATGTTCCTTCTAAGCCAGCTCAGAAGAATCAAAGCAGTGTTCTCCACAGTCGGGGAGCAGGGGGTTGTCGAAACGATCCAGGTAATAGTTACCAGGATTCGTCCGCGGGCCCGTCTTGCTGCACGTTCCCATCACGGGTCAGAAATAAATGCCCTCTGGTCCCCACCAGGGCTGGATCCTGCTCTTTTCTTTCCCCACTGGACTTGCACAGAGCTGGGCGGATGGTACTGAAGGAGAAGAAGGGATTGCTTGTGCTGAAATGCAGAGAAAAAGAGCCGTCGGTGCTCCCGTGCTGCTCAGCGGCGTGCAAGGAGATGGATGGGCTCGGCCGAGCTCGTGGCCCCGCTCTGATTTACGAGAAATTGGCTGCTATCGAGATCATCTCCAAGCAATTGGCAGAGCCCAAACTGAGCCATAAAGCAAGCAGCACCCTGTCCTGCCAGGGAAGTAAAGCCAGCTTCATGAAAAAAAGGAAAGTCAAGCCATGCCCAATGCTCTGAATTGCTTTCTGTGTCTCTGTACGTGTATGTATATAGTCCTCTAGATGAAAAAGTCAGTACAGATATTGTTGTTCTGCCCATAGCATAAAGGAAGCATAACAAACACTCTTCACAGGGACTGCATACACAAGCAGATTGTATAAAAACAGGTAGGATTTCTATCCTGGCACATGCACTGCACGTGTCAGCTATATCATATCTTACAAGTGATGACAGACAAGTCTCTATAGGGCAGAGATCTGGTGCATTGTGCATTGTATGGAAAGTACTCGACATCCGTGATCGAAGGAAGCTAACTCTCATAATATTATTCACTTGTCCCTCTCCATACTGGTTAAACAACCCTTAATTTATAGTTATCTCCATTTTGAATATGTTTTAAGTGCCACTGCACAGTAATGGTTTGGGTTTTGAAAATATTCTGCATCTGTTGCCTTGCGTAAAGCATGCTAAGATTTTATTTTTTATTTTATTTTTAAATTCAGGTTAGTAGCCTGATGCTGTCCTTTTCTCAAATTTTTACAAAGCTTTCAGTTTTAGGTTCATTTCCAGTTTCTTTTATTACGACCTCATAGAGTATTTACAATATTTCATTATATTTTAAACCAAAAGTACTGAGAGAAATGGTTTAAATAAAAATGCCCACAATTTTCCTGTTCCCTTGTCACTGTCTGAAAACCTTATCAGAGTTCCTCATTACTTTAATGGTATAGGATTAAGGATAATGAAGAAACATTTAGGGTTCTGCAGATCACTTTGATTTCATTGTATAATGTAACAGCACTTCTCCTTGATTTACTGCTCAGTTGTTTGAAATAGCTTATGGTATTTATCAGCCTTGGAGGAAAATCTGTTTCCTTCAACAACTAACTAACTACACAGCCTAAAGTTGCGTAACTCTTTTCTTCTAGTCTTTTTTTTTTTTTTTTCCCAGAACATTTATGGATGAGAAATAATGAAAAATAATGAATTCCCTTCCCTGGATCCTATCTTGATGCTTAGTGAATAAAAGATAAGTATTCTCCTTGCAAATTTTCTTACAAATGTTTTATTTTCTAGACTTTTCCCCCTTTTTTGGTGATTACAGCAAAGATTGCAGTTTATTGTAAAATTAAATTTACTTCAATATGTTTGATAATTTTATTCACTCAGTTTGATATTCATTTTTCGTTTGGTTTTGTTTGGATCTGTTTTCCTTATTGCCCGCATGGGTTTCTCAGTTTCCTCACCAAGGGGGATGTTACTCAAGTTAAAAAGAAAAATGTTTTGAAATAAAACCCTCACAATTCAACCAGCACAATAACATTTCTGACTATTACAATGCCAATAATATAAAATAAAAAATCAAAAGAACCACCAAATCACCCATACATTTAAAAAAAAAAAAAAAAGTTGCAATTTTCATGACAATTCTGATCTTTCAGCTTTTCCTGTTCACCAGCTGTTAAAGAAAGAGTCATTTCTCCACAGATTCACCAACTTCTGTATAAATGGTGCAGAAAGATGCCCTGCCTGGAGGTGTGTATGGTCACCTAAAGCCAAAAGGGGTGACTTCTTGGTTTATATTTCTCATCCCCTCCCAGCATTTCCTATCCCTGCTCCCAGCAGCGTGCTGGCATCATGTCGGAGGTGATCTAGTAAGCTCCTTAAAGTGATTTAACAATTGCAGATTAAAATAATGTGGCTGTGGTTTTGCTTTTACTACAAGGAGGTGAGTGTGAATCAGGAATGAGGAATTGGCCGTGACATAACTGTGGTTGCAAAAAATGAATGCTGTGGGATGTCCCCACCCATGAAGGGCTGATCAAGCCAACATCTCAGGAGCTGGAGAGGTCTGAGTGGAGGTGGGGACAGGGCACCAAGAAATCCAGGCAGACCCCTGACACCTGGAAAGTGGTGAATATTGCTAATAAAGCAGGTATGTCCTAACAGGTATGAAGGATTTGGTACGGAGGAGAGAGAGAGAAAAAATTGCCATTGGCTTTGATTTGCTCTCAGTGATGCTTAAGGGATGCTGGACAACCCCAGTCCATTTGCTTAATGGGTGTAAAAAAACCCTCCGTATCCAAATTGCTTGGGAAAAGCATCTCTCATTAAGTCCTGTGAACTACCAGAGAGAAAAACATAGCGAAACAACCTGAAGGTGGTTAAAGCACAGCTGCTAATGGTGATTTGGCAGTCTGTCACCTGGGCAAGATGCTATAAGAAACATCAGCTATTGATAAAAGGCATCATAGGCATCTCATGACGATTTTTTCCCCTGAAAACCAAACACGGGACATGTTTTTACATCCAGTGAGAGTGCTGTCAAAAGCGCATAAACAATGGAAGAGCCCACGAGCTACTCTGAGTCTAGTTTTGTGAGGCTTTGAGAAGTTTAATCCCATGTCTGTAGTCTGGGAGTCTCTTTGCTGGCTTCCCTGAGTTCGGATTAGCAGCTATTCGTTTCTAGCTATTTGCTTTTCAGATTTTCAATGGTTTCTGTTTAATATCCCTCGCTTTGCAAGAAGAGAAGTAGCTACAAACCAGAATATATAATCTGTACATTATACCAGCAGGATAATCCTATATGGCGATTGGGAGATAAAAATAAGGAAATCACAGAACAATTTTGCTGTGTAACCAGTGCTACCAAAACCTCTCTCCCAACATTTTTTTTTCTGAGGGAGGGGGAGTAGAAAGAGGGAGAGATTTCAAGCTAATTCTTTCCATCTGGGCTTCATTTATGGATTATGTGGGAAAAGGCGAGATTAATGCAGAAGAGGAATGAGCAAGCATTAATTTGCCATCTGCGGATGTAAACAGGAAGCCCAACGCGTTGTGCCTTAATACGTGCTTATTGGTTTAGTGAGGAAAGATGAGTTGACGCCACGGGTCTTATGCTGAAAATATTTTAGTAAATTCTAATAAGACATTATAAACAAACGTCCGTCCAAAACTTTTCCAAAAATGGGAAAATAACATTGTCCTTGGATACAAGAGCAGCTGATAGGAGGGAAAAAATCCTTTGAATGAATTTGGCAAGAAAATCTCACTTGTTTGAGATTATTTTTCTTGAAGTTTGACATTAAAAGAAAAAAAAAATTCTTTGATTTGAGCATGTAAATGAACCCCCATGTTCAGCTTCTGAGCATCTGCTGCTCCTTTTAGAATACAATAATTGGCCTCGAGATCTGACAATGCTTTTAAAACATAAGTTTATGAATAATCCTCTTGTGCTGTGATGGCTGAGTGAAAGAGGGATGATTTTCTCCCCTGGCCTTTTTCTTTGCATTTCCCATGTATTCATTAAGCTGGCCGGGACCACCTACGTGCAAGGAAAGCCGGAGGTCTCCCTGCTTTGCTCTCAGGTGACGGGAGCCCATCTCTTTCCACAGTTTCACTCCCTGCAATATATATCCCCACCTTTCCCGAGCACGTTTCCCTGGGGAAGTGGAAGCGGGGTGGCTGAGCAGAGATGACACCAGTTCTGCTTTCCTGAACCCTGTGGCTCCGTTCCCACTTTCCCCTCCAGTGTCTGGGATGGCTGCTCCAGCCCCGTAGCCCCACTGAAACACCACAATGCCGCTCCCCATTGTCAGCACACATACTAAAAAAAGCGTGCATCACACTGGGTTTGCTCCTGGGTTATCCAAAGGATGTTTTCTGCCTTCTAACTTTGTGCTGATCACTGTCTCCTTGTCCCAGAGCGGTTCATAAATCCTCTCATGGAGAAACACTCAGCTCTCTGCAGACAATAGAGTCTTTCAGGCCAGGAGTGTTTATTTGCTGTCCCTGATTCGAGACAGTGATCAGGACTGTGGACAATAAATGTCGAGCCCTGACATTCGCAGTTTTATACAAAGATCAGTTGAAAAATTAGGGCAGGTTGCTCTTATGGCTGCTCCCTCCTCGTGTTAACCCCACTGGTTTGCTGGGGACATGGGCAGTCCCATCCGATGTCCAGCAAGCTAAGCAGGGTAGGATGCCCCTTGCACTTCAGTGGGGTACCCTTCCTTCACCCCCATGCACTCCACATTACTCCCTGCCCAGGAGTCAGCTGCAGGGAAGTGTTTCGTGCACAGCAAAATTTCATTGTTAGGAACATATGAGTCTCCATAAGACTGCTAGAATCCCAGAAAGCTAGAAGATAACTCATATAAACCTCAGAGCAGCCTCCTTTCCTCTCCATATCCCATAATTATCCTCAATATTCATATTTTTTCAAGTACATATGTGCACGTGTATGTACTCATATAACGATAATTGAAGGGTTTTATAAATTTCCATTCCTGTCTAATGACTTTTTACAGGCAATGTAATTACCTGTTCTTTTTATTGTTATTATAATGATTCAAACATGAATACCCCAAAAGTTTAGTCCAGCTAAAGAAATGGCTGCTGTAAAATTCTATATATATTTGGTCCACATAGCTTTAAATTAATCCATTTTTATTAGGGTGTTTGGCAAAAAAATTAATCGGAAACTGAGTCCAAACAGATTAGGATTTATTGCAACTCTGTAACTCTGAAGAGTAACTTGATGGATTTAAACCATTTTTACCATAAAAAATAATAATAAAGCAAACAAATTATCCTGGCTTAAAAGCTGGAAAACCATTCTCCCTTCTCGTGCTCTGCAATTTGAACCAGCTGAGATGATAAACTCCAACTCTTGAGTCTTTTCAGCGAGGAAGACTGATGAACTCTGACCAGGCAGCGTTTGGGAACTGGGCTCTCCGCAGCTGCGAGGTCTCCCCATGTCCCCGCAGATGCCGCTCGGCGTCACAGCACAGCTCCCCCAGGACCCGTGGCCGAGCAGCCGGATGCTCTGCGGGCAGCACCTCGGGCCGGGAGGGCGGTCGTGGATTGCTTTTTTCCAGGGGGGTCGTTAATCAAATGTGCGGCAAGGCATCGAAGCTCAGCAATAAGCACTCTAAGCCTCAAGGGTCTAAACTACTCCTTCCCAAATTCTGTAAATACAACATATTTTTGTGTCCCTTCTGTTTCCCTGGGGTCTTTTGTGTTCTTTGCTTTGTGCGGAAAAGCAAACCCAGTTAAAGCAAGGAGAGGTCCTGTAATTTCTGGTGCCTGTCCGTGTCCCTCCCCGAAGAAAGCTCTTCCTGGAGGTAAGTCAGTGGTGCAGAGGACTCCCAGCACTGCCTGTGGTCGCAACAGGCTGGACAAGTGTTAATTAATCCTCTGCTCCTTTGGAGGAATGTTTTCCAAGACTCATTTTACATGCTTTAAATCAAAGCACAGAGAGTTTCCTTTGTATGCTTTGATAAATGCTTTCTTATTATTTATATTACCATGGTGTTCAGAGGCCTCAGGAGAGATCGGAGCCCTATTGCAATAGGTGCTTTACAAAACCCCTCTGCGCAGCTGACAGTTTAAACAGATAAGGCAAAAATCAGAGATAGGAAAGTGACTTTTCAAAAATATAGTGAGGCTGGGAGCAGATCTCTATCCCTATCAACTTGGTCACCTCATGGTCAAGCTAAGACAAGACCCAGGTGGCAGAGGCATGTGTGTTTGTGACCATAGTGCCTCCAGGAAAATTGTTCTTCTTCCTCAGATGTTGGCTTCAATGCTTCATTGGAAACCTCTCTGGGGAAAACCAGGTCTTGCAGCAGTGTTCAGTGTGAGATGAAATTCAGGATCTTCAGGGACAGAGCATGTGGGCATAGTGAGGAAGGAGAAATGATTTTACAGCAAACTGGGAGCCACCCTGCTCACCGTGTTCCCCTGAATCTCTCATTTAAGCAGATCTTCAGGACTATAGTACCTTTCATCCAATTCATTTAGGCTGACTTTATGGATTTTTCCACCTCAGGAGAACCAGGAAACATTTTCCATGCTCCCTGGACAGTCCTTCAGCCAGTAAATGGTCACACAGCTTCTTCTTGCCCAAAGGCAGCTGCCTGTCCCTTGCCTGCAGCAGTGTGACTTGGACTGCCTCATGCTGCAACTGCTTTCTGTTGCGCAAACGAACGAATCCAGTCACTCAGACCTCACTGGGGATCTGGTCTTCATAAAGGAGCACAGGGTCATTTATAATAACTGGAAGGGGCTGACCCGCATGCAATATGTGAAATCCCAGTGTACATGTACATCTGGCCATCCTGGTTTTTTAAATGATGCATTTTCCTCCTTCCCCCCGCCACGTTGTCCATTATTCTGATCAGTGTGGACAAGACAAATAGCACCACACACCAATGTGTCTCTGTCAGAGGACGGAAGCGGTAACAAATGCTGCAAATGCCTTCTCAGAAGTCACTGTTGACCTTACTACTAACACAGACGTTTCTGATTCAAGAGGCGACTCCCCCTGTGCTACATGAGTTCACAATTCCTGTATTTGCTTGGTTATTTTTCTTTATCTCCCTGCTTTTTCTGCTAACTTCTTCCATCGGCAATGGCCATCACTCACTGGGTCAGCCCAAGCCATCCTGAATCGGAGCATTGGCAGCACTTCGCTTATTAGTCAGCCAACTCATGGGATCCTGGCAACCTTTTTCTCTTTATAAGGATAGGGTCCAAGCTGCTCTTTGATGTTGTCAAACCATGACTTCCACTGGTCTCCCTGCTGATTTCTTTGCTCTTTCTCCCTGGGAGTAGAAAGCCACAGGGAAGCATTTAGTGTTGTATCAGGCATCGCGCCAATCTGGTTTCAAGTCTTTGTTACTGTGCGGAGCAGACAGCCTGTCCGGTCCTGGATCTATAAGAGGGATGCTTTCATCTTATAAGAATGTTCTGTGTTTCTGTTGTTCAGGTTGTTCCACCTATCGAGCCCATCCAGGCAACCTCTGTAACAGTCAGTCTTCCTGAAATCCAAATAAGAAAAATCTAAGTCAAACACAGAGTTCAAAGTTTACCCAGAATTTATGTTTTATGGATTCAGAAACATAGAGGACAAAGTGAAATCTGCATTTCTGATGGGGTATTGATTTATTTCTACTCCATTTGCCTCCTAAGGCTTAAAAATATGTGGACAAAAAGGAGTCATTCTCCATATCTGAGGCAACACAAGTGAAATTCTGGCCCTTATTAAAGTCAATGGCAAAACTCCCATTGACTATGGTGGGGCCAGCATTTCACCCCATGATTTCTCATCTTGCTTTATTTTATTGACCTTTCTCGTGAATACTAGCGAAATGCAAATATTTTTTTCCAGCACAAGTCTTTGTACTCTATGAACTCTGCTGGATCCAAAGTACTTCATATGTATATAAGAAAAACAGTCAAAAACAAAAGAGAGAAGAGAGAACTGTGCAAATAATGATCTCCACAATCTATAAAAAATGGTCACATTCAATAACATATAGTGGTTTAAATGGTCAGAATAAATAAAAGAGGACTAATGTTTGTACCATGAAGAGCATTCTTAAGCCTGGATGGTGTGGACCACACTTCTTGGGAATGCCAATCACCTCAGCTGGGCTCTGTAGTGGCCATGAAGTCACAGACACTTTAATATCATCAGAGAGTGTACAAAGCTGAAGGAATCCATCACTTCTGAGCTGAGGGGATGGAGGAGGATTCCATTCCTTCAGCTTTATTTTGGTGAACTCTTCACACTGGAAAAAATGGATATTTCTTTCTCTGTGGGTTCAGCCTTAACATGGAGTGAATAAAAACAGCTGATTTCAGAGACAAAGAATTACCTTTCTTGCTTTCTCCCAAAGTCTTGTCTCATCCTTCAAATACTTTAGAATAATCCCCTCTGCTTTACCACTATGAATCCAGGAAAACCTCAACATTTCACGAAATTATTTTGTTGTTTTGTGGAAAAGCTTACTTGCAGTACAGAACTGTCAATGCTCTTTTACACATTTCATAGAACCCATCCCACATGCACCAACCCCAAATTTTCATTACAAACTTTACAACCAGGATCCAATGTAGTATGAAAGGGCTGTGATGTACCAGGTACTCAGGCAGTACAACTGGAAGAGACCTTCAATCAGTATGGAAATGATAGGTATTTGCAATCAGTTAGCACTATTTAGACAGTCATTAAAACAGTAAAAGGAGGAGAACCTCGATAAAACATTCTTGGTTTTACAACAAGCAAACAGAGGCACATGAAGCCATGTAAGTGGCAAGTGGATTAAAGCAGCTGTGGTGGAAAAAAAAGCAGAACTCTCGACTCCTAAAGCTGACATAGTATTATACCCAACACCTCAATATGATAGAGAAGGCAGAAAAGACAAAAGCCCAATAGTTTGGATACTTTGATATTGCTCCCAGTGCAGAACAAGAGCAGAAAGCTCCCAATTCAGTCTTCATTTTCATCCACTGCCCTGGTGCTTTTCAGCACTTAAATCCACAATCAATCTCACTTTTTCAGGATGTAAAATCCAAGGACCATGTTGTGTGGTGCTGCTTTGAGAACTTTTCTTTACAATGAAATAAAAACCAGTCTAAATTTTAAGTGCTTTGGGCTTGCATTTTCTCCCTTCACATTTATTTTGTTTCTCATTGTGCTTCTAAAAAAACACAACCACCACACAACAAAGAAATTGCAGTCGTCTCATGGTTCCTGTTTTGATGCCTCGTGGACCACCAGTGGTTTGCAGACCACAGGGTGAGTAATGGTGCACGAGAGCCCATTGCATGTTAAGTCCTCTGCTCTGACTCCTTCTGCCAAAGGAGCTCTGTTCACACCAGCGTATTCGTCCATGCTTTGTCAGACCTAATTCTGCCTGATTTGAGTTATGAAGCTTCCATCATGTCTTTGGGGAAAATTATTTCACTGTCTGCCATGTCTCTCAGGCCAGAATGTGGACTCGTGAAGCCTGCGGTGTGTATTTAGTAGAAGAGCACTTTGAAATTAATAAGGTTGAGGAAACGGGGCCAAAATTCTGTCCTCAGCCTCACTGGTGTGGTGCTTGTTAGAGCAGAGAGGAGCCGCCTGAGTGACAACGGATGGAGGGTGGGGGACTTCTACAGGGGCTGATGCATCACTGAATGTGCTTTTCCCGAAGACCTTTGGGAAATCCTTTAACCTTAATCACCCCAGCCGGGAAACCGAATAAACCATCAGGACCTTGCTAAAAAGCCAGCTCCTGCACTTAAATCAGTGTTACCACTTACATAAATAACAAACAAATCATATGATTTGGGCCCTATTTCCTGGCTGGAAGGATCGTGAAGACTGATCACTCACACAGAGCAAATTTTACACCAGTTTTGCTTTATAACAAGTGCTGTATTGGACTTGTGAACTTGGGTTAACAATATTGTTCTTTCTGAAAATATTAGCGCTCACTGAAATGCTTCAGACAAACATCCTATGAAGACTTAGTGGCCTCAGCTTGTTTGACTTGGAATCAAACTTGATTTCTAATTAGCCAATCTTCAGCAGTCTGTCAGAAAATGCAACGAGCTGCCAATTTTCACACCTTAGCCCCAAAAAAAGGTACCAATAAAAATCTTAAGAAAAACGGCCTATCACTTCTACTCCTAGGAAATTCCCAATATGTTCAAGGCTCTTCTCTATTCACGCACATATGCATGCAAACATACATTCACTTACATGCATGTTCCTATACACTCATATACAACTAACATCCAAATCTTTATATGAGCTTAAAGAGCCCAAAGAAAGAATATTTTCTTAATTTCCTACAATTTTCCATAGTCAAGGAAAGAAAAGTTTTGAGTATTTGAACAAGCCTCGACCATTTAAAATAACCAATGCAAACCAGCATTTTAGCTGTTTAAATCAAAACACATGCACTGATGTTTTTATAACAAAAATCAATAGGGAAATGAAATAAAATCAAGAGTGTATAAAGCATGCTTAAGTATAAGCTATCAAACAGCTGTTTCAGTCAAACATAGAAGTGGTACAAGTAGCATAGCTCAATGGAGTTGAAACTGCGCCCATCAGTATTTTACAGGCCTTTCAAAAATTCCATTGCAAGCCCCAAATGTATCCATAGCATTTTTCTTACAAATTTTGTTCGTTTGGATTAATTGTCAGTCATTTTCCACAGCCTTCAAACCTCAGATGCAAGTGGCTTCTAACGGGACACCAAAGTACAACCACTTGAGTGGGGAAAAAAAAGTTTTTGCTTGAGAAATGGCTCAGTAGTTTGGGTTTATCACAATTTAATTCAAACTTAACTCAGATCCAGCTTAGAGGGAATCCTTGAGGGTGTTGACTATGTCACAGATATCATGCATTGTCCCCTTCTACAAATGTACATGAGAAGGAGCAGTCCCTACTGCTCACCCTTCTTCTTTACAGTTGTTTGGAGGAGTAACTTTTTCACCACAGAAATTAAAAATCTGAAATCCATTAAAAAAAAAAAAAAAAAAAAAAAAAGCATTACTCCTCAAATGGTTAATTTTCATGGAGGTTACTTCTCTACCTAGAGGTTATTTTACCCCTGGGAACCAGAATAAGCTAACATGTTGTTTTATGGAAAATGGTAGAAATGGAGATTAAATAGCAAAATTTATGCTCTTAATGGTGTTGGCATACCCAGAAATGTCTCCATCTCAGTTTTGCTTCACATTTTCAAGTATGGTTCTGTCTTCTTTTCTACCACTAATAGTGTTCAGATGCAAGGGAAAATATTGTTCACTGTCAGCCACAGTGATTGTACAGCTTCAGAAGCCCATATTCTTTATGTGCCTATAAATTGCCTTATAGGGACCTCTTGACACTTACTCAGAGCATCTGGTACAAGAAAAGACAGTGGGTTTTAGTCCTGAAGACCTTTTTCAGCTGTTACAGATCTCCTACCTCCAGCAAATTCCAACTGACTTCAAGAAAAATTGGCCAATTAAAGTCTAGGTGAGAACTCCCAGATTTGGCCAATACTAATAAAATTATAGAAATGTGATTTGCTTCCTCAGCTAATAGTTTCCTTAAAGGCACTACCACATGCCACCACCTTTCTCTAACATCTCCTTGCAGGCCAGACCCGGCTCTCCTTCTTGCAGTGCCTGCTCTAGTAAATGTCAATAGCAGTCACGTCTGCTAAGGATTATTTGCATTCCTTACACAAGCAAGACTCTTCTTTGAGCCCTCATTTTTAAATTCCTCTTTACGAAGGTTTTCACTCATATCACGATCCATTAACTAAGCCATATGTAGGATCCTCCATCCAGAACCATTCCACTCCCAGAAACACAACTGCCAGGGAGAAATGAATATTTGGATCCATTCCTGTTTTCCTTTCTGGCTGTTTATTTAACACCGGAAAGATTATTGAAGATGTTATCTCAGAGAGAGTTCACTAGGGCATTTTTCTGTGACTGTATTATTGCAAGCACAGTCGGCTGGCTCTTATCTTCAGCTAATTAAGGTGCATTAAGCAGGGAAAATTGATCAAATGTGCACTGACCGTAATTTTGTTTGAGCTTTTTTGGTAACGTAAACATGCTATTTCTTGCATCTTTTGTTCAATTTGAAATGGCTCTGCTTTGCTTCCTCTACCTATAAACTAGAGAGGTTTCATTTGGGAAAAGGCTGTTTGTGTGTCCGAGTCCTGGTCCTTCATAACCACTAGCACCTATGTAAGATGGTGTAATACAGAAAGATCCACGTCTCCCATGAAAAGCTCTGTAGAAATCCACAGCAACTACAAATCCCTGCTAGGAGAAAAGCAAAGTATTTATAAACTGATAGGAATGCCCAGATGCGACTAAACCATGATTTACAATCCAGACTCCTGTGGAAAACAGTTTTTCTCCACCCCAGTCTCCCCAGAGACTTCTGTCTGTTTGAGAAGAGGAAATACATATTTGCCACTACAGATATGGCTATTTGTGGTCACTCAAATCTGCCAGGGCTGCCACAGATTAGGAAGCATTTTTGGTGCCCCTCAGAGCTCCATCACTGCCCAGTCCAACCGTTTCTGATGCTTCAGCATGGGATTAACTCTATTAAAATGACATAAATAATGTGCAAGTAATATCAATAAGACTTTAAGACAGACCTCAATGTCACCTTCTGGGTACATAACGTTTAACTGTACAATTATTTATTATTCTTTTTGCTGCATTTTCAGCATTTTTAACAGACCGAGGCTGAATTTCATGGTCTGTTGGTAATTTGTATGCATTGTTACCACTCAATGATCGTATTATTTCTGGTGACCCCACTTGAACTTGCTTCCCTCAAGTCCATAGCAGGTCCAGGAGGCAAGGGCTTGGTTTGCTGCAATGAACTCTCGGTGGGACTACACCTTTGGACCACCCAGAACAGCAGCAAACTGAGCACAGCTGCCCATGTGCTTCATAGCATTGCTCATATCTGGAGCCCACCTGTGCTCCTTGACCCATGCTGTGGCTTCCTGTTCATTGCTAGTCTCATTCAGACTCGCCGTGCCCCCGCAATTTAGCTCACAGGTACCTCAGAGACCTCACCTCTTTCTCCCTCCCTCTCCTTGCAAAATCCACTGCAGAGGTGGAGCTGACTTTATTTAACTGAGAGCAACTAAATGCAGGTGGTGTGAATGTGGCGGGCTTTGCTGGAAGCCATGGAAACTCCCATGCCTTTGCATTCTCCAAGAGTCTGGCCCAGGATGTTTTCTATTTTTATTTTTATGTCTGCACCTAA